TGTTTACTCAATTTATAGATTTAATATAAAATCCCAGTGACTTTTTTTTTCCAGAAATGGAAACGTTGATCTTCAAATTGATATAATCTACAAGGACTCCACCTAGCCAAAACAATACTGAAAAACAATGCTGGAGCATTCACACTTCTCAAACTCAAAACTTAATACAAAGCTACATTAAGTAGCCTTAGTAGTGTGGTGCAGTGTTTTCTGGGTTAGGCAGTGGTTTCTTAATTAGGACACAAAGCACAATAACGAAAGGGGGAAAACAGGTAAACAGGACATAGTCAAAATTAAAACACTCATGCATCTAAGTATACTATCAAAAAAGTTAAAGAATGGGAGAACACAGTTGTGAGTCATCTGATGATAATCAAGTATCTATAATATGCATGTATGTAAATGTAAATTCTTACCTTTCCATAACAAAAACAACTAAATTTAAAAAACAGGCATGGGAATGGAGGACACATTTCTCCACATCCAAATGGCTGATAAGTCATAAAAACATGCTGTGGATTTTTATGAGTAAGAGAAATGCAAATCAAAACCCACAGGACGGCTAAAAGTTTTAAAAAGACAAAAAGTGTGAGAAGTATTGATGACACTGGACCCCTGGTACTGCTGCGGGAATGTAAAATGTTCCAGCCACGTTGGAAAACAGGCTCGCAGTCGCTGCAAAAGTTAAAGTAACCATGTGACCCAGCAGCCCCTAAAGGGCTGAAAAGCAAGTTCACACAAAACCTTGGAGAGAGATTATTCACAAAAGCCACGAAATTGAACGATCCAGAAGCTCCCCGGTTGTAACACAGTCTGCAGGGTAGGTGCACCACGAAAATGCGTTGATGCCACCTGTGGTCCCGGCCACCTGTGTGACCTGTCCGACTGGGCAGACCCGGCTTGAGGCAGACTCTAGCCCAAGGATGGCGACAAAAGGGAAGTGGCTGCTCGCTGGGTTTCTTTTTAGGGTAATGACAACGTCGGGGAATTCAGTGATGGCGGCTGCACGAACTTGAGAATAAGCCAAAAGCTGAGTTGTCCACTTCAAAGGATCGAGGGTAGGCATGTGAAATTGTATATCCATTTTAAAAATATGAAATTGGAATGGAATGCTTCATTTAAACACACACACACACACACACACTTCATCAGCTGCGATTTTAAAAATAGTATGCTCATGATAAGAAAAATTGGAAGCCTCTCCTTCCCGAAAACACCATCCCGGCCGGCCCGTCAGCACTTCGGGTACCCTGCAAGAGGATCACACTTTGGAGTGTTATGTTACCTTTGGAAAGATTGCTCCCCACACGCGGGAGCGCGCGCACGGCGCGCACAAGCTGGCTGAAAGCGAGGCAGGTGCCATCAGTCCTAAAAACGCCAGGCGCCTCCCAGGACGGGATGTCCCGTCCAACCCGCGAGCTCAGGGGTAACCCCGGAGAGGCGGGGCGGGGCCGAAGAAGAGACGCGGGGCGGGGCCTAGTGG